GGTAGGCGTTGTTTGTTCGGATGAAACTTTCAATGGCAATCTTTTTCATCCGATTATCACGATTTTTCCAACATTTCATCGTTCCTTCACTCGAATTTCCATGCGATTCTTTGAAAGCAATCAGTTTGAAATCATGTGGCAAAAATGCGGTGTCAATGATTAAATTTTCATTTTTAATTTCAATTATTTTTGTAAAATCGGTTTTGTTTGATTCGAGTTTTTGTGGTTTGCAATGCAAATTTCTTCTGCAAGATTCAAGAGCGGCTGATTCGGTTGGAGCTTGATCAACACACAAATTACTGATTGAATTCAAATTTTCGGTTTTTGATCCTAGTTGACATTCACCATGGAATGACATTGGCGGACGGTTCTTTATAAAATTAATCAATTCACAATCACAATGCAACGGATTACGACGAACATTTATCGTAACATTATATTGATCACCATCGAATACTTCTGTGCCAATGTGCAATAGATTATTTCCTTCCAAATTAAGTACTTTCAATGTTTTCAACGGAATCGATTGTGCACCAAGAAAATCAATTTTATTATTCCATAATATCAATTCAGTGACATTAACAAGACCTTTAAATGTTGATTCGGTAATGGTGTCCTCCAACTTACAATATGCAATTTCCACCTTGTACACATTTGGCAGTTCGTTTGATCCAAATATTTGATCAAGTTTCAAAGTGTTGGTGCTGACATTTACCATCTGGACAATCAATAAATTCTTTGTCGGCTGTAAAAAAAATTCTGAAATTTTTGTCAGCGATAAATATCTTAAAGTCAATGATTTCAAATGTGATAATCCATTGAATGCTCCTTTCGATATGTATTTGATCGGTGCTATTTGAATGCCAAGCGTTCTTAATTTTGTAAATTGAGCTGTATTGAATGCATCGTCATTGATGCCCTGTATATCAATTCCGACGAAATTGAACCATTTTACTTGTATTTCGAGCGGAAACCAGTTTTTTGATAAACCCATCGATGTTGAAGCAAACGTATTTGAAAATTCGATATTTAACAAATACAAATTGATAAGGTCGACTTCCATTTCTCCCTGCGAAAAAAAATCCATTTGTTAATCATTTTACTGCAAATTTTAATGTAATTATTTTACTTTTCTTAGTATAGTATACTGCGTTTCAAGTTTGGTTATATGCATTTTTTTGCATAGATGAATTTCTTCTCTCTTTAGTACACCTTTCCAATCACGATTACATTCTTGTGCAATATACAAGTAAAGTATGGAGTAAATGATAAAAACTTGGAAAAAAATCCAATTGATTCGAAAATGTTCCATTTTAACACGAAACCTAAAGGTAAGAATACGTCCAATAGACTAAGGGTCGCACTCAACCAACTCATGCCCATTTATAGACGAAGCGGCCTCTTTTAACGTTTTTTCCATTAAATTTTCTGCTTGCCAACAAAATATTTGATAATGAACATGGACTAAGCTCGTGAGTCAATTGCAATTCAATCACTATGAATTTCAATTAAGTTTAGTGATTTTGGTGGAAGCGACAATTTTCACGAATTTTCTTTAATTAGAATGCAGACATATATAGATCATTCATGAATCATGAATCGTTTTAATTAACCACATAAAAAGGCATAGCAACCGCCGATCGCCTTTTTTGCGTCGGCAATGTAAAGATTCATTTAAATTACATAATTGTTCTCACACGTGCCGTTTTTCAAAGCGATGATTTTATATGTTACACATCAGAGTTCAAAACGGAGGCGATTTGTAGACTCCGAAGCCGGCCAACGCTGAGACCATTAAATCCGATACCGACCGTTTTCCGATACTATCCAGGTTGACAAGGGTTCCTGAGGTTCGGACTTACCCTCCAAAACATTTTTCGGATCTTTCACCAATGAAATGGAAGAAATTCGTTCGATTTGCTAGGATTTTTTTAGCCAAATTCTCCATCCTCCCGTAATCAATTTTTCCGAGTGGAACAAAAAACGGTTTTTGCACGAAAAAAATTAAGGACCCTTTTTATACTAGATAAAATTGACTCTTGGATTTTGTCAGTTCTACGGAATTTTCCCATAAAATGCGATTTGTATTTAAATACAGTAGAACTTCGATTATCCGTCAGGCACGGGACCAACGTCCTGACGGATAAACAAATAGACGGATAATCGAGAATCGAACAAAAATTACATTTTTTTATATTTTATAAAAAAAATCAGATTTTGTTGATGTTACAATCGAATACAAAATGAAAAATGATCATTTTTTATGTTTTTAAAAAAATGAAAAAAGATTTAAAAAAATTGTGTTTACAATCGAACGAAAAAATGTTGAAACGAATGGAAAATGTTTGTTTTTTCATGACTTTGTGAAAATTTCACATGTAATCAATAAACATTGATTTTTGCGCTCATTGAGTTCGATCGCCGAATACATTGTTTACACAACAATATCAAAACAATTTTTTGTTTTGACTGTGACGGTTAATCGGGAGACGGATAATCGAAGTTCTACTGTATTAAGTTTATAAAAAATGCATTTTTCTTTCAATCTCATGCATTTTTGAAAATTTATTTATTCCATTAAAATTCAAATACAATTTCACATAATATATACCAATTTTTCTTTCTCAACTACCAAATGTTCTTTTTTCCGATGATAAAGTCGGATTCAACACGTCTTCAATTTGACAATGAAAGTTTCCTTTCAAATTTCAATATAACATTCACAATTTTCTGAATCACAGCAATTGAATTTATCCAAATCAAGTGCTTTCTTCTTATCTCTCGATGGCAACGGTGGTGGTTCATCGGCGAAACATACTGTTTTTACATCGGTGTTTCCAATACTTTCATAAATGGTTTCTTCGTCGAATTTTCTGAATGACCATTGCCCGTTTCTCATAATTAATCTTCCGCTTTGAGCAAATTTGGATTGTGCACCTCGACAAAGTTTCGATTTTGTTCCTCGCATTGCTTTCGGAAAGCGTTTGCTTAGTGCAATTGCAATACAAATGCCAACAATTGGTGCAAGAATATTGGCCAAAACAAAAATAGCAATAAAAATTGGTTTGTATTGCATTGAGATCCATGCGGATCCATCCACCGCCAATGTGTACGAATAAAAGGAGACACAATCCAAAATTGAAATTGTGTTCGCTCCTTTCTTTTTCCAACAAAATTGATACATTCGATTCGGAGCCATTTCCAATTCAATGTCAAGCTTTTTCGCATTTTTGCTAGAAAAACATCTTGAAACTTTTCTATCGGTGAGTTCGGTTTCAAACCCAATGAATCTGTAGGAAAGTGCATCAGCATCAATGAATACGTGTCCATCATCGGTACGAATTGGTAAAATTCGTTTTTCCACGGGTTTTGATAACTTAACCGTTTTCAATGCTGCTTTTGATATTTCACATTGCAGTGACACATATTCACTTAGGACGGTCATAATTTCCTTGCCATTTAAATTACTTTCAAGCTCCTGTTTTGAAGTTTGGTGTACTCTCGATGTTGTCGGTGTCACAGTCGTTGTTAATTCCGGGTTTTGTGGCGATGAGCAGAATGATAAACGTGATGGTAATTTGTTTGCCAAATTTCTTGCGGGACTTTGGCAGCTTCCCTCATGAATTTTCATTCTTTTTGATTGTTGCACTTCCCATAGATTTTTGCGTAAACGATCAAATCCACAAGGACAATCCCATGGATTGTATTCCAAGTTAATAACTAAGTTTTCATTAGTCACTGGAACGTTGAATATACTTGCGGGCAAAGTTTTCAATCGATTTTTTCCAATAGACAGACGTTGCAACGTTTTTAGAGGTACATCAAATGCGTGTCCATCAATTCTTTCAATGCCATTAGACTCCAAATGCAATATAATAATATTTGTAAGTTTAGAAAATGTTGATTTGGTTATTCTACGCAAATTACATTCGGATATAAATATTGAAGCCAAATTTGGTAGGTTAACAGTTCCAAATAAATTGTACAATTTGATCTCGTTCGAGCCACAGCGTCTCATAGAAAAATTGATCAACTGACTATTCGATCTTAAAACTCTCCCCCCGAATGACTTCAATCCTATGTTATATAAATGTAATTCTCGTAAAGAGATAAAATTCGAAAGTGTGTCTTCTCTCAAACACTGTATGGGTGTGTTAAAAATTTCAAGCCGCTCCACTTTTCTGAATGATTTTTCCTTGAAGGCACCGCTTTCAAATTCAATAAAATTCATATTCCTGATTCTCAAGTAGTTCAAAGAAACTTTTTGAGCTTAAAACCAATTCCTTTTCAATAATCTGCCATTAATCGTTATGCCATCCAAAGCTAATTTGATTGTTCCACTTGATGGTGTCTGGGAAATATAAGAAACGCTTGAGCATTGAATTTTTATCTGATCATTCAACTGGTTTTTACCAAAGATCTCTGATGCTGGCCCACAGTATGCGTAAATTCCTTGTTATGATAACTCTCCTAAAAAAGAAAACATGAATTTTGTTTCGAATGTTTATATGAGTAAACGAAAAATTAAAAGGAGTGAACCTTCTCCCATAGCTCCATGATGGATCTATTTAAATCATTGATATGCATGTCTTCGCATGCAAAATAATTCATATTTTTTCTGCAGCCTCCATGAACCATTACTATGAAACTACAAAAAATTAATAAAACATGAATGTTTTTTCGAATTATGAACGTTTTCATTTTTGAAGCAATTCTGAAGGCTTAACAAATTGAACTAACGCTAAACATAAAACAAACGATAACTATTTAATGTTTCGACCGTAAAAAATTATTCAAATTAAAGTACACCAATTCGGTCTTTTTTTCAACCTTTTTGATGAAAAAAAGACCGAATTGGTGTACTTTAATTCAAACGATAACTATATTAGTGCGGTATCTTTTCATGTTCATTTCCAATAAAGCGATGAAAAAAATACTAGATTGTGTTGCGGCTCTTTATTGAAATATATATTGTGCAAAAATTACATGGATATGTAATGTTAATTAAACTAATAACTAGTTTGCTTCAATTAGTGAAATGTGTGCCTTGTTGGATTGATTAATTATATTTTGCGGTACATAGAAAATTATTCAATATTGTCTCTAGGAGGCATCGGTGGAATCTCTAGGAGGCACCGGCGGTGGACTATTACCTCTCGGTGGAACTGGTGGTGAGACAACCTCATCCGACTCATTCTCTCTATTATCCTCGAAATTTTCAAATACAGATGCATGCATTGCCATTTGAATAGTCGGCCTTTTCAATCTTTGCGATGCGAATCGACGGCGAAACGCTATGTCTTCATCAAGTCTGCAAGCACCGCAAATGGTTCCAAAACAATATTGAAAAATTGAAACAAAAAGAGTTCATTAGAATGAGACCAAAATGAGCTGACTTTTGCATTTCAGTGCAAATTTGAAATCAAAAGAGACCAAAAAATAGAAAAGGATCTATCCTTACCCCATTCTTTTGACCGCCTCCATTTCCTTTTCATTGGGAAACATATCGATTTTCATGCTGTCCGGAGTTTTTCGAATTTTCCGCGGGCACCATATGGCAAGTAGAGCTGCAATGGATATCCCAATAAATAATGAAATAACAAGCGACAATGCAAAAATGCCAATTGTCAATGCTTTGTGTTCCATCGAGATCCATGCCTCATCAAATGTTGTCGGTTTCGAATAAAATGCGATACAATCCAATGGCGAAACAGTATTGAAATTTTTCCGCATAAAACAGAATCGATATATTTGATTTGGCTTAAATCTCTGCACAAGTGATGCAACTTGACGTTCGTTGGTTTTTACAAAACGTTTACACTTTGGAAGCGGTCCTGAATTCTCTTCGCCCGGTGTTGATCGAATTCTGAGAAGATTAAGATGATTCGCCTGTTCGCTTATGGTAATGGTTAGTGTATCGTTATTGTGAACAGTTAAATTCCGTTCAAGCGATGGCTTTGTCAAAATTAAACTCTTCATTGTCTCGGATGCGTTACATTTCAATATGAATTCATTTTGATTGGGTTCCCTTTCTGCGGTCGGTGTTTCTTCGATCTGTGTTTCTTCAGTCGATGTGTCCTCAGTCACGGGTTGTACTGTCGTTGTAGTCGCCTCACATATCTCCAATGTAATAGTATTCAAAAAAGCTTCTGGTGGCTTTTGGCATTTAATTTCAGCCAGATCAATGTTTCCAGATTTCTGCATAAAATCTCGTAAACTAAGCATTTCACAACAATCCCATGGATTATTTGCAAGAAAGATTTTAGTGGATTCTAAATGAATTCGTAGATTTTTGAAAATAGCCACGGGTAATGATTTCAAGTTATTATTGTTCAAATACAAATGAGTTAGCTTTGGAAGAATCGTATCAAATGATTTCGGTCCGATTGATGTGATTTGGTTGTGAGTTAAGGCCAATGACTTAAGATTGGTCAGTCCGAAAAATGTCTTCTCATTGATTTTATCACCCAAATTGCAATCTTTGATCTCAACACTGCGTAAATTCGGAAGTATATCATGTCCAAATAGATTTTCAAGCGAAATTTCTTGCTCACCACATTCAATCATTGAAATAAAGTTTACAGAATAGGTCACTGGTTTTAAAACCCCTACTTCAAATTTTTCAAATTTCACATTTTTGAAACGAAATTTGTTTATGTTTTGAGACCAAAATGCTTGTTTTACCAAAGATGCAAGTGGAGAGTTCTCAATTATCAAATGTTCTAAATATTTAAAATTTCTGAAAGCGGCTTTCCCGATCTCAGTGATGTTTACTGCATTAAAACGAAGACGAAATATACGCAGAGAATTTTGGGGAAACCATGAATGCTTTAATATATTACTTTCAGGATTATGAATTCCATTTAAACGCAGATCAATTGGCATGTTGATTTCCTAAAAATAATAATAGCCACTTAGAAGATACCGTTTTGTAGACGACATTTTTTCTTACCTCATCTTTAATGAACTGGAAGAAGGCATCCGATGCACTCTTGAAATTATCGGCAGTGCAATCTATTTTTATGTACTTTTTGTTATAAATGTGATTATTAAGTCTACAATATTTTTCTATTTGCCCGAAAGATATATGAATCGAAACCCATAACATTATAAATGTTATAATTTTTGCCATTTTTTCAGCGGTGTTCATGTTCTGAACTTCATCGTTGTTTTACTGTAACTGGTTTCAGTTCACACGTGCCGTTCAAATTATATCATTTACGTTCGATTGAACGAAATTCAATATGCATAGACTCAATTAGGCTTTTATCAAACTCAATCAGAGTGACAAAGTATTGGCATGTGAAATCTTTTCACAAGAATGGAATTTATTTTATCAAGTTCCATGTCATTATTTACCTCAACAGGACAAATCGATACAATGGTGTGGAAAATTGAATATTTTGCATGTAATTTAGTCTGTTAGAGACGGCAAAAATATAGACTTTAATCGAATTAATACAGAATGTAATTAGCTAAATATTGAAATGAGGTGCACGCACAGGAACTACAGCAATACCTGGTTCTTCTTGTTTCAAAACGAAGAATCGTCAATTTGAACATTGAATTTGATAAATTGATTCAAACATAAATTGAACTGAATTTAGTATTAATTTTGGCACGTTTAAATTGAATGCGCAACATTCAATAGAGCAATGTCCGTTTGAAATGAAGAGTACTCAATTCGAGGTGTGCGGAAAAATCGATTGAACTGATGTTCAATGCGGACTTTCCGTTGCCAATGAGTGAGCAGCACGTCAACTTAAATGCGAACTGATTTTTTATCTTCTTTCACATAGCATACCAAGAACAATTTGCAATAAAACGATTTGCTGGCGAAAAAACGGCTCATCTCTGACTCATTCAATGTAATCATTGAAAATGTGAAAAATTATCAGCATTAATAGATAAGTGCAACAAAAAACGGACATTTTTTCCATCCATTTAAACAATAATTCCATTGAAATCATCATTTTAAGATCTTTTTCTCATATATTTTCTCTGCTTCTGTCGGGGATTCAAATCGCATAGATTTTATATGAATCAACAAACAAATCATCGTACCTTCACAATAAAATCATGTAAGAGCGTCTTTTTTTTCGTTTAAAATATGAAAATTGAATGGCAGTTTGAAAGCCCCATCAACAAAGTAACAACAATTCATTTCTTGTAAATGCGTTTAACAATTGCGTGTTGTGTTTGCATCCATTCGTTTCTGTTTTCGTTTATCTGTCGACGGTGTCTCTCGCTCACAGGCCGGAGCCGCTTTAAATGACGATTAAATTAAAATGCAAATAAAAGCGATAATGAAATGGTGTTTTTTGTCTGCTTATTCTTCGTCTTCGTTTGTGACAGCATAAGTGAGAAAGTTTCACATGCAAACAACAAATATATATATATATATATATACAAATTGCAAGCTAAGCTAAAAAGGGAAAATCCACCAGAATGCAGGTTGAAGTCCATTTTGTTTGAATCTCCTTTTTTGACTTCGACATTCGTTATGTATGGCGTTTTTAGCGTTGCAGACCCTACATGGCCACAGACATGTTTCATGCTGGTCACACAGCCACTCTATAACCATTTGTTGCTGCTGACGCTGTATTACCAACACCAAAAACACGACAGGCAACAACAACAAAAAAAAAAATTCAATTTTATGCCATCGTCATTGCAAGCAAACAAAACACACAAAAACGGCATACACACACACTGGAATTAAAATTGAATAAAAAAAACGAAACATGCAAGCCGGCTCAACCTTTGAGTTTCGTTGGATGTGATCGGATTACAGACGAACGGGAGCGCTCACAAGCGCAAGCGTAAATTGTTTTCTCTTTCATTGCAAATGACGACTGCTGTACACATTGGCACATATTAAGTACGAAACGCATTGTATACACTGACGATTTCACTTTCAACATCTTTTGTTGCAGAGAGTAGAATGAATCGACACCGTACAACAACAATAAAATAAAACACGACCATGCGGGGAACGATTTAACAACAATTTTTTTGAACTGCAATTAATGCACGTTTGTGGCTCACATTTTCAAGAGATTTTTGTCAGTTTTTTTGAAAACTTTGTCGGTTTAAGCCATTTTTTTCAATCTAAACCAGTCCAGACGGAATTTATTTACATTCTAGCATTAAATCTAATTGAATGACATTTCTATCAAAACATATGAAATTCGTTCCAACATTACCTTCTCGCCAACAAAAAGTTCTTAATTGACTAAAATCTTCAATGATTGTCATTTTCCATTATTGCTGCGATGTGAAAAACTCGAAAAACGTTATGTTTTCTATTGAAAAGCGTCCAAATTTCAATGTTTCAGAAATCATTTTAATTTTTACAAAGTATGTGATTTTAAACGTCCATCCGGTGGTTTGTGTCAAAATCAGCTTAATTTGTCCCCTTTCTTGAAATGTCCGCGTAATTCTTGTCAATTTATTCAAAATCACTGTGCTAATTCTTCGCTTTCAGTCCAAAATTTAATTCTTCAAACTTCGTTCCAAATTAAATCATTTCAATGTGAAAAGAAAATCATCATCTCATTAGGTCCATTCTAAAGTCAAAATTTCGTCTAATCAAATTCATGTTGGGTTTGAATTTAAAATTAATTCAATTGTATTGAAAAACGGCCAAAAATCGTCTTAAGAACGTTTTTTTTTTTCACGAAAAACGATGGTCATACTGAAAATCGCTTAATCATTGTTTTTCTGTCTGGTTTAGAAAATCGTCCAAATTGCTACTAAAACCGTCGTATGCCACATTAGGTAATTTCAAGAGTCGTCGTACTGTGAGAACGTCCATACACAGCGAAAACCGAATCAAAGAAACAAAAATAGTGGTATTAATGGCCACATCAGCATTTTCCGGGCTATTTGGCATGATTGTGTGTGTGTGTGTGTGTGTGTGCTCGTAATGGAGGTCGAATATGCCGTAGGCACTGAAACACGGTCAGCAAGTACAAAAAAACATTCATCGTGTAACCGAAACCAGAAACATGACCATTTCGATGTGTTAATGTTTTTCAATGCGTCGTCTCAATTTCGCGCACAACAATTGCTTTGTTGTGAGAGAGGCGAGCGAATGAAGTAAAAGAAAAAACTGTGAAGTCATACGAAAGAAAAACGTTTTAATAATATAAAAACATACAATGATTTTTAGATAGGATAGATGCGTAAGATCTCCGCAAGATCCAGATCCAAGCGTGCGTACGCTGCCGCATGATGCATACATATATAATACGCACGCAAATTCGTTATTCTTATTTCCCCTTCTTTGATTCGCATGCCATAGCATTACCATATCATGCGGCTACGTACGCTTGGATCCGGATCTTGCGGAGATCTTACGGATCTATTCTATCCAAAAATCATTGTATGTATAAAAATGATGAAGTAATCGAAATTAAAGATGAAAAGAGAAAAGAAACGGTAATCGGTAGCGAAGTTCTATTTTTATTTTAAAAAATTCGAAAAAATTATATTTGTAGATACGGAATTGGATTCGTCTAATTAAAAAAATGGAATGAGAATAGTGAGTTGGAATAACATACATTTTAACGGAAATTCAATGCCATTTAAGACAGAACAAAGACACATTTTCGCATGATTACCTCCGATTTCGATGATGATGAACTAAGAAAACGGTT